GTAGGATAAGCACTGGATCACAAGGTCAGTTTGGATCACAAGGTTGGAGGTTGAAACTCATCAGCCGCTTTCCAGAATCCCTATAAAGGGTCACTATGAGTTGGAACCTCCTTGATGGTATGGTGCTGTAGGATAAGCACTGGACTACAAGATTGTTGTGAACCACAAGGTAGGTAGTTCAAACTCACCAGACGACTCAATGGCATAAAACAACAACAAAGAATAAAATAACTGGTGAACAATTCGTCAATGATTTAATAAGGTGATGTAGTATTTAAAAATGTTATTATGGTAAACTATATATTTAAAAGTTTGCCATTGTAACCATTTTTAAATGTACATTTCAGTTGCGTTAATTGCATTTACCATGTTGTGCTACCATCCATCACCATTTCCAAAAGAAGGTGAAGTAGTTTTAACCTCATCATTGCCATCACAAAATCTGAAAATATGTGAGGCACATTAAAAATGAAAAAGAGGAAAAATAAATGAAACTAGTTGCCATTGAGTTGATCCTGATTCCTGGTGACCCTGTGTGTTACAGAGTAGAAATGTTTTGTATAGTTTTCTTGGCTGTGATTTTTACAGAAAGCAAATCACCAGGTTTTTCTTCTGAAAAGTCGAGGGGTTGGTAGATGAGCACAAGTCATTTGAGCCACCCAGGAACCTTCTGTAAAGCGCATAGTAGATGCTTCGTAGCTGTTTGTTAAATAAATAAAACATTGACTGTACAGAGGGGAAGATCTTGATGTATATAAAGAAAAACATCCTTCCAGGGAAGACTATTGTTGTTGTTGTTAAGTGCCCTTGAGTTGGTTCTGACTCATCGTGACCCTGCATAGGGTTCTTAGGAGCAGCTGGTGAGTTTGAACTGCTGACCTTGTAATTCCAATTCACCTTTTGGTCGAGTGCCTATCCTATAGCGCCACACCAAGTCCTGGAATATGTTGTTGTTGTTAATTACTGTCAAGTCAGTTGCTTTACAATTGAGGTGGTCAATCTCCTTTCCCTCACCAGAGCCTGAGAGAGTTGATTGTGGCATAGGCTGTCCACACATGCCTCTTGACACAGCTTGAGTTGGTGGTCAGATGTCAGCTCTTAACCAACACATCTCTTTTCTTTTTAAAGGTTGCCCTCCCCCAAATGTACTCCATTCTTCCCTTCCCATTGTAAAATTTGTTCATGGTCTCTTTATTTAGGGCTATGGTAGCTGGGAGAAACCAGTCATGTCCTCAGCAAATGCTCAGATAGTGCAATAATTTGTAATTTCTGCACTCTTTGGACTTTCTCACTGTTTGGAAGTGGAAATTGCCTCCACATGCGTTGATTGAATTTCTGTAGTTTGCTTCTCTATTTTCATATAATGGCCCCTTCTTCCCATAAGAGCCACTAAGGATCCCCTTTATACATTTTTTTTTTTTTTGTCAAACACAACTCTTGCTAGAGTGGGTTTGTAATTCTGCAGGTTTTGAATGGACCATCTGCTTTGAGTACAAACCAACCTTTTGTGATGTGTTTGTGTGTTGGGGTGGAAAGGATGTTTCCTAAAGAGCTAAGGAAATCATAGTATGCTAGAACTGGGAGGCATCTTCAAGATCATCTAGTTTAAGAATTTTCAGTAAGGATTTAGAGGATTGCCCAGGTGCTGCTGTGTCAAGAGAGTGGTGCTGAAGGAAGGCAGGGACTCGCTTTCCTTCTCCTCTCCTGCTTCTCCCCACCATCCCATATTTAGTTTGTAGCTGTTTTTTTTTTTTCTTTTCATACTGTTCTCATTTTACAATTGAGATAATAGAGGTAAAATGACTTAATTGGGTGCAAACCTCAAGTTAGGCAGTTTGAGTCTGCCAGCAACCTCTCAGGAGAAAGATGAGGCTATCTGGAAGCCTTGGAAACCCTATGATGGGGTTGGTGGTTATGTGCTGTGGAGTTGGTTCCGACTCATAGTGACCCTGTACAGGGTTTCCGAGGCTATAAATCTTTACAGGAGCAGAAAGCTTCATCATTCTCCCGCAGAGCAGCTGGTAGTTTCGAACCACTGACCTTGAGGTTAGCAGCCCGATTCGTAACCACTATACTACCCCAGGTCACTAAGAGGCAGATCCAACTCCATTGAACTTAAAAACAACAGTAAATTGCTTGATAGCCTTTATACTCATCTTTTTGATGTCCTATCACATTTCTACCATATTTTTTCATTACCTTTTCTATTAATTTTTTTAAAAATCTTCAACCCAGTTGACCCTCCTCTTCACCTTCCACAGATGCCATGTTTTCTTAAAAGAAATGAGGCCTCTGGGATAATGTTTCCATCTTCTTTCCCCTCTACATCAACATTTTTTTTTTTTTTCTGTGTTCATGTTCATTTTCTCTTCTTCTCCAGTCTCTGAGGAAATTGTTTTCCCACCTTTCTAAAGCTAACTCTTCCATATGGGCTTATAATTCTGTTCCTTCATTTTTCTGCCAGGATCTTGTCCCAATTTGGGTTTATGTACCTTTTTCTACATCCAAATATTTTCTCATTACCTACAAACATATTTGAGTCTTCCCATCATGCAAACAAAACAAAAATAACAGAACTTAAATATCTTAATTTTGTTCTTCATTCTCCATTGCTTTTTAAAAAATTGAGTATGAAAGCCTTATCCAAGCATTCACTCAAGCTGCTCTTTTCACCACCCATTACTACTATTATTGGTACATGTACCAGTAAGCTATTTTTATTTTTCTAGTATCTGATAATTTTTCTTTACTGGTTCCCTCCCTGTTTTTACCTGCTCAGTTTTTTGTATTTGGTGAAATCTTTCAAAGCCTGTCCATCACACACCATTTCTTCCATGAAGTCTTCCCTAGTTTCCTTTAAGTGTACATAATCATGCCGTCATTTAACCATCCTCAACACTGGTTCTTACTTGCAGGATCCTAGCTTGCTTCCTTTTTTTTAAAAATCTTACTCCTTAAGGCCAGGCTGAGTCCTTCTAATTTGTTGTGTCCCACATGTACTGTTTATTTCTAGGAGTCATGCCATACAATCCATGGGTACAGCTGGATTTAGGGGCCATTTCTTTTGGTTTTTAGATCAATAATTTTAGGGTTAGTAATTAGCTGTCTGTGACCTACACAAGAAACATTTTGTCTGGCTCCCCAAGAGGCTAAGAGCCTTTGGTTTCTGGGCTCAGTTTTTTGCTTTAGATAAAATTACTTTAACCAAGTAATGCTAGTAGTTATCCCTGCAATTGGGTGGTTTCATCTAGCAGGCCCACTCCCAATTCTGATGGAGTAGTAGTATTTGTCTGGTAAACTCTGGAAAACAGGGCTTCAAACTAGTTAGAACTGATTCAATCATGGCCAAGGAAACAGAACTGGTACAGACCCGAATTTTTAAAATGTGGGTGATCTGGAACACTAATCGGAATGGAGTTGAAGCCCTGGAATGGAGCGACTTGTAAGAGGTTCAGCGAGCCCTTTCAGGAGCCTGATACATGACATTGGATTATTGCCAGGACACACAAAGCTGCATAGTTAGCTGCCATCTTTAAGCCCGGCACCACTGTTTACTACTCAGCCAAACAAGAGATTTTATTGCTGCCCTTGTTTTCTAGAAAGTAGACTAAGTTTCCAGCAGGGCTTTGACATATAATTTTCCCCATCTGGTTAGCATTCTGGTTCACCACATTTTAAAAAGTCAGGATCGTTCCAGTGTTGCTTCATCAGCCATGATTAAACTGAGCTGGACCAGTTTGGAAGCTCTGGTTGTAAAGGATTCTGAGGCTTATCAGGGGAAGGGTATGGTGCTTGATTAGCAATGCCTTCAATAGGCCTGGGAGGGGAGGTTGGAGCATGGGCATCAGGTTACTGCTGTTCTGTTGGAACACAGTTTAAATCATGGAAACAGATGTGCTCTTTCACCTAGTCCGCTTTGGGAAGTCTATGTATTGATGAGGTGGTTGGTCACATTTCAAGTTTTTCTTTATGTGAGCCAAGCTGGCCAAAGGAGGGCGTATTGATCAAAATAACAGTCTTGGCCTCTCTGGAACTTTTGAAAACTGAGTTAGAACATAATTACTTGCTGCATGTTCCCAGTCTTTTTGTCCATGGGATAATGTTTTGTGGGTTTTTCCCACACCTCAGGGGATCTGAGGCCAGGATATCTGGTACCTTCCTCTTTTTTGCTATCTCTGGCACTGTTTCTCCTTAGCACATTCTAAACTCATGGGAAATATGTTTGTCCTCCTTGGAAGGAGGGCGAATAGAAGCTATGAAGAGGTTGGATGCTAATGTTTCTCTGGCTGACCACAGAGATCACAAAACACTTTCCCCTCCTTGCTTCAGGGTTTCAGTGGTGTCAAACAAGGGTAGGATTTACAGTCCCTCTCCTCATTTCTCCTCCCAGTTCCCTTTGTAGTCCAGACTATAGCCCTGCTGAAATGTGAGGTGATTCTAGTACTCCCAACCCACATTCTTTACCCCAAATTAGTAGTAGAGTGCTTGGCATGGACTGGGATTAACTGGCCAGAGAGACCTTGAGTGTGGAACCCATCCTACCCTGAATCCTAAACTCACAGATACAAAAGGAATGGAAAAAGAAATAGGTCAACGCAGTTCAGTCTTCCAAACAGGGGCTGAAACTCCTGCTCAATGCATCCACTTTTGCCCTCAGCACTGCAGTCTCTGGTCTGGCCCCCAAGTGCCTGTTTCTGGTTCTACCCTCTCTTTGTTCTGAGTTTTCTAGGTCTGTCCTAGGCAGTCTGTCTTTTTCACCCTTAGTGGGCAAATTGGAAACATTTCTCTCTCTTGACTCTGGATAGAGTGGCATGCACCTTCCACCTAAATTCAGCTGCCCAGCTTCTATCTTTAGTCAATTTCAGTGACCCTGATAAGGCTACATTTTCAGTTCCTCCTCAGGGTAACAGACTTTTGTGGAATAAATAACATGTATCTGTTTGCTCTGGACGTGGCATTTTTCAGCAGAGAAACAATAAAACTATTGAAGCCTCACTTACAGTGAATCTCCACAGCCCTCCCAAGTCGTCACTCCTCTCAAAGCAGATGGGCTCCAATCCTTCCTCCAGACAGCACTTGATGCAGGCCAGGCCACTGACCCCGGCTCCCACTATTGCAACTCTCTTGGCCATGTTCTCCTGTGTGGGGGGGACATGAAGCAGAGCTTTTTATTCACAAGTGGAAGCCCCACCCCATCCTTGACTGTTCTAGCAAACCAGAAAAAAGAATTAGAAAGATTAAAGGATTTGCTCAGTTTGAATCCTGTGTTGCTTGTCTCTGGTATGTGAATGTGAGAAGAGAAATGTTCAGGTCACTGGTTTGACCTACACTCTCTGTATGTTCCCACCCCTCACTTGAAGCTGCTGCCAAGTGTTCATACAGTTGTCAAGGCTGTAGCTTCTGGCAGAGTGACTGAAATTGGACCCTGGAATGGGGTGGACAGAATCTTGGATTCTGGACTGGGCTGCTGCCTCTAGTCTCTCGTCTCTAATCCTAGAATCGATTAGAGCAGGAGGCCAGAAAAGGATCATCTTGTCCAACTCGCTGTTTTAATAACATGCAAAACTGAAGTTCAGATGGATGTGATGATGTATGAGTGCAAGACTTGCATAGCTACAACTGGTGGGGTAAAGTTTGGACTAGGAGCCAAGACACTTCATGCCACCACAGGTGCTAGTGCAGTGCTGACCTGGGTAAATCTTAGTCTGTGGCATCCTGCCCAAGGTCTGACTGTGCTGTCAGGGCATCTGCTTCCTACTGGAGGGAGGAACAGGGAGGGTGAATGTTGGTGAAGGTTTTCATGGCAAGGAAGGCATAGAAAACCATCTCTCCTTTCTCAATCAGATACTGATTCACTTTTAGGGAGCATGGTAGGGTCACTATTGGCATAGATTGGCAAAAATCTTGTATGAGACTAAGTATTAATAACATGATCTAGTAAGACAAGTGAGAGGCATATAATATATATTGGTAAAGCCATCAGGCTCAGGTCTAGGCTGCCTGGGTACAAATCAAGCTCTGACAATTAACTACTGTGTGATTCTGAGCAAGTTCTTGAACCTCTCTATGCTGCTACTTGGAAATCCTATACAGGGTTGCTATGGGGTAGAACTGACTCAGTGGCTCTTAACATGCAATATAAAAAGGAACTCTGGTAGCGTAGTGGTTATGAGTTGAGCTGCAAACCTCAAGGTCAGCAGTTTGAAACAGCTATCCATTCCATAGGAGAATGATGAGGTTTTCTGCTCCCGTAAAGATTTACAACCTCAGAAGCCCTATGCAGGGTCTCTGTGAGTTGGAATCCCCTCCATGGCACACTACCACCACCATGCAATATACATCTGTGGCTGTTAAGTCTATTCTAACTCATGGTGACCCCATGTGTGTCCAAGTAGAACCGTGCTTCATAAGGGTTTCAATGGCTCTAACCTTCTAGAAGCAGATTACAAGGCCTTTCTTCTGAGGTGCCTCTAAATCTGAAAAACAAACCCTTGACGATCAAGTCAATTCCAATTCATAGTGACCCTATAGAACTGCTCCTTAGGGGTTCCAAAACTGCATGTCTTTATGGGAGCAGGTATCTTTCTCCCCTGGAACAGTTGGTGGGGTTGAACCGCTGACTGTACAGTTAGCAGCCCAATGCTTATCCCACAGCGCCACCAGGTGCTTCTGAGTGAATTCACATTTCCAATCTTTTCGTTAGTAGCCAAGTGCTCAACCATTGGCACAGTCCAAGGATGGACAGCGTTACATAAAAATGGAAACAATTAGTAGTAGCTTTCTTTCAGTGTTTGGTGAGAACTAAGTACCACATGGAAAGTGTCTTAGAACAGTGCTTGCTGCGTAGTGACTGCTCAAAAAATGTAAGCTATTGGAGTCCTGATAGGATAAGCACTGGACTGCTAACCATGGGGTCGGCAGTTCAAACCCACCAGCTATTTCAGGGGAGAAAGATGTGTGCTCCCCTAAAGACAAGCAATCTTGGAAACCCTGAGGAGCAGATCTATAGGGTCTCTATGAGTTAGAATTGACTTGATGGTGGAGGATTTGGTTTTCACTTATAGAGTCACCTCAGAAGAAAGGCCTGGTATTCTACTTCCAAAAGGTCAGAGCCATTGAAACCCCTATGAAGCACAGTTCTACTCAGACACACATAGAGTCATCATGAGTTAGAATTATATCAACAGCAACAGAAGTATATTGCATATTGCTGTTCTTGTTGTTAAGTGCCCTCTGTTGGGTTCCAACCCATAGCGACCCTATAGAGGGTTTCCAAGGAGTGGCTGTTGAGTCTGAATCACCAACCGTGTGGTTCAAACCGACTTTACAGTCCAGTACATTAACCCACAGCATCACACTAGGACTCCTTATATGGCATGTTGTTATTAAGTGACTTTGAGTTGGTTCTGACTCTTAGTGACCCTCTAAAGGGTTTCCAAGGAGTGACTGGTGAATTTGAACTGCCAACCTTGAGGTTCAAACCAATGTGGCAGTCCAGCACATTAACCCATAGCACACCAGGACTCCTTATATTGCACAGAGAGGTTCAATAACCTTGGAAACCCTACACAGGGTTGCTGTGAGTTGAAACGGAGTCATTGGCGCTTAACAGCAAAAATTTTAACTGTAACAACATATTCCAAAATTGTTTTTCCCTTTCATGTCATTGAGCCTCTATTCTTTTAATTCCCATAGCATTTCAGGGCAACAGCATACACGTCATTAAATCATGTACGGATTGATGTCGTTTCCTAATAGACTTTTGTGACAATTTATCTCCTTAAGACTCAAAAAAAAAACAGGATTCGCGTCTTGTGGGGCATAGTGTATGTTCTAGAAGTACCCGCCGAAACTTAGTTTCCACCCCACCTCACCCCCATCTCACACATGTGCACACTCACCAAACAGACACAAACTCTTACGCCCTCCTGTCCTCTGTTGAGGAGGAATTGAGGGGGTCATGATGGGGGTCAGAGATCACTGAAGAGTAGGACCCCACATAGCTCAGGTCCAAATCCTGGGCACCTCTTTCTGGAGTCCCAGGTAGAGGTCCTTCCATAACCTCTCTGCAAGTGCTCAGGCTCCACAGGTCCCCACCAGGTATGCACTGAGACCCTGCCTGCCAGCCAGCCCCCATTCAGGATGTACAGACAGACATCTTGCTGTTCAGATTCTACAGAGAATGCAGCTTGAACATCAGAGTTAACAGTAGCATTCAGACTCAGAAAACAAAACAAAACAAACACACACACAAAAACATAATTTCTTTGAACATTTGCTCTTTTGTTGTTTCACAGATGGATTTGCTTCTCAAAGTTGGATATGCCAAAAAAAATTTTTTTTTGGTAGGATTGGTAGGATGAACTCACTAACTAAAATACAGGGGTAAATCAAAAGCATTACTACAGGGGATACAACTATTACATGTACAGGCTCATTGCTAACAAGATGTGTTTAAACATGTCTCAATGTGTTTAAATATGTGATCAATGGATGGCAGCAGATACGTTCTCTCAGTAACATGCTAGTACTTTAGGGCATTTTCAAAAACAAAAGCAAAAAGGATATATTTTGTGCCATGGAAGAAAACAATTTTGAGGTTAGGACTAATACCCAATTTTTAACAAAAATCAAGTGGCCATCTTCCCAATTCATTGAAACTTTGCAATAAGTTAATGGAAATACAGCCAGATATTTAGCAGCTTTTAGATGGATCAAGTGTCTTAGGGAAGGTTGGGAAAATGAGTTCAAGGCAACGTAGATTTTCTTGAAGGATACAGGACAAACATGGGGAGCTATTATAAAGAAGTTTTTAAATAACTGAAAACTGCATTGGTGAGAAAGAAGGCCAGGAAAGTTGCACCAAGGAATTTTTGTCCATTAAGAAGTCAGCAAGGGTTGTTCTTTGAGAATTTTGTTGGGAAAACTTACCCCACACACCTTGCAACCCTGATCTTGCCCTTTCAGACTTCTTTTTATGCCCTAATCTCAAAGAAAATTTAAAAGGAACATGATGTGAGTTCCTCAAGGATGCTCAACCTGTCATTTTCATGTGATGTAAATTGAAAAGTGCAGAATTCTTCAGGGAAGGGCTAGAAAGATGGAAACACCACCTTTAGAAGTGTATAGTCCTAGATGGAGGATATGCTGAGAAACAATACTTTCACTTTTGATCTTTTTGTTGAATTAAGGTTTCCATGATTGTTTAGCAGTACGTTTTGACTTATCTTTGGATAAGTTGCTCAACTACAGGGACTTCATCTATTTTGCTTATTGGTATGTCTCAGTATCTAGGGCAGCACTTAGAACATAGCGTAATAGATGTCCAATAAATATTTCTTGAATGAAATGAAAAGGCCCATTTCTTTTCATATGTTATAGGAGTAGCTGCTTGCCTGAAGCCCAAACTCCTGGATATAATTTACTTGGGAAAAACTAGTAGATTCCATTTAGGGGAAATCATTCTCTCCACCCTGTTGGGCACTGTAGAAGCATCTGTTATGTTGCCACTGTTATGTGCCATGGAGTTGGTTCTGACCCATAGTGACCCTGTACAGGGTTTCTGAGGCTGTAAATCTTTACGGGAGCAGAACGCCTCATTTATCTCCCGTGGAACAGCTGGTAGTTTCGAACTGCTGACCTTGCGGTTCACAGCCCGATTCGTAACCACTATGCTACCAGAAGCATCAGTCTTATATAATTTCCCACTCCCAGGATCCTAGAGTAGTAAACTGTCCTTACAATTAGAGAGGCAGCTGATGCAATGGAAGAAGTGTGGGCACTGGGGCCAGGCACATCTGTTTGGTGATTTAGGAAAATGGCTTACCCTTTGGAAGCTTCACTTTCTTCATTTTTAAAATGGGATATAATGCTATTCATTGTGTGGGGTATAGTACATGAAATTGGATGCAGACCTGGGATGGGCAGAATTATATTCCACAGTTTGCTGCTGCTGTCAGTCTCCTCTCTTCTCTTATCCTAGAATTGATTAGAGAAGGTGACCAGAAAAAGATCATCCATAAAGAGTAGCCATTTGGATGGGGGGAATGACTCTAGGAAAAAAAGGAGGAGAAATGCACATATAAATACAGTAATTGCAGCTGTTTGCAGAAGCCTGCTGTCTCTATAGATAGAT